GAACATACGCATGCACACAAAGGAGCAATCTTACTGTTGATATAAAAGATTTTCTATTGCAGCGACTTGTGCCAAACCGTAAAATATTTACAAGTGTAGGAAGTGGAGGTGGTGGTCGGGACTGTTTCTGGCAGAAAAATCAGATATATTTGCAGGGGTGTTTAATCTGTTTTTGCTCTGTACATAGAGGGCATTTGGCTTTAAAGCAAGTTTCTTGCTTGATCACAGAAGGACGACGGCCGGAGCAAGGTTGAACAGTATCGAAATTCTGCATCTGTGATGACAGTTAGCAAGTGCTTGCCACCACAAATAATCAGTTGTGCCACACAAAAAAGTCTGTAGCAGCAAAATTATCGTGCACTTGACTGAACAAGAGAAACTTTTTTTTCTTTTTGCCAATGAACAGCTTTTAATTTGCAAGAGGAAGAATGAGTCTTTTGTTTTTGCATAAAGTTACAACATCCAACATGCCAGCATGTTTGGAGGCTGTCAGGTGCAGAGGTGTCATGTGTGTATAATGAACATCTAAATACACAGAGAAAAGAAAAGCAAACAGAGGAGAAAGTCGCACAGGCCGGACGAGTGAGACGACTGCTTGTTCCAAAAACAACTCCCAATACGCTCATCCTGTGCAGCTCCAAGTTTTTGAATTCAGCAGCTGGAGGTTTGTTTTGCTGCTCACTTTGCAAAGATTGGAATGCCTTATTGTCTCAGATGTAATAACGATGATCCAGCATGTTCGGCCCACAAACAATGTTGTTTTTGTGCTGTGAAACTCCAAACATGTAGGAATGTAACTGGGAGATTCCTAAAATCTGAGGGCATTGTGTAAAAACAACAGAACATCCAAACTAAACAACAATAGGATAGGTGAAGTTAACATTCAGGCCTGCTTAAAGATCGTAATCACTTACCTCAAAAGCAGGACAAAGCTGGATTTAATACACCAAAGTATTCTTACAACACGTCACTGTTTGTTCATTGTGTTCACTCAGAAACCCTGCAAAGCTTCACATTTTCCTCACTGCAACAGTCTCATTAATCATTCATACGCTGTTTGTCTACAGTAAAAGAATAGAAAAGCTGATAGGATAGAAAATCATGGAGGATAAAAGACAAAAAAATAAAATTTGTGAGAAACAGAAACTGACAGCGTGACATAATTTTCTAGAGGCAGTTTGAAAAACATGTAAAAAAAATTTAAGTACTTAAAATGTTAAGTTTAAAAAGATTAAGATGGCCAGAAAGAGGCATCTGATTGGCTTGAATTTGATAAATAAATAAAATCAGGTAATGAATATGTAGATAATAAAGTGTTGGTGTTACCTGGTTAATTAGATTGTGAAATTTCTTTTATAATAAGTTAAATGTTAATCATTTTGGCCATTTGAGAGTCCTGGACAGTTAAAAGAGTGCAGTATGAGTAGGCTAAGCTGTGATGTCCATGGTAAGCAAGGTCAGGGGCAGCAGTTTGAATTAATCTGATGATGCTCTTTAGTATCACTGGTCTTATTCCACATTTATAGTATAGGGGTTGGACAGCAGCCATGATAGGTCATGTAACAGCTGTACATATATTGTAAAATGCAGCGGGTTAAATCCACAGAGAGCAGCAAACCGTTAGTGCAGCAGCATCAGCAACCCAGCTCTTCTGTGCACAAAGAAAATAGGTCCACTGCAGTTCACAGCAAAAAATACATTTTAGAAATTATTTTGTGGCGATTCAGTTTCCCCTGCTGCGCAGCAGCAACAGATCCAAGGGTTCCCCCACTTGCCCAGTAACGCCTGGCTATCACACAAGGATGAACCAAGTATTCAAACTAATCAGCAGCACAGTATTTCAGTTAAACAATAGCAATTAGCATAAAAGGCTTGACTTTATAAGGTCCGTTTTATGCTTTCTGATTCCAAACAAAAACAGCAATGAACCTAAAATTTGGCCTTCTGGTCTTTTAGCCTTGTGAAACATTTTTATTCAGTTATGTGCTAAATTATATGGCTGCTGTGCGGCACAGACCCTGTAAGAGATTTGTGCTTCAGTTTTGGTGAGTGAAATTCTACTGTTTCATCAGTCTGTTAGTTTGTAGCATCAGTGTCTGTGCAATGCACCTTTAAAGTTCAGGAATGCAGCTTGCTAATGATGCTAGCTAGTTAGCGCTAGCTTATTTTTTAAAAAATATGGTCACTTTGAGCTTCAAAAAACCCCTACACAAATTAGAATAATACTAATGTAACAAGGTAACATTACAGGTGTGTCTTCTTCAAGTTTGTTTCTGGAATAACAGTTGTGGCCATGTTACTTTTTACTATTGTGGTCACTTTTTAGATTTAGCGATTTTGACAAATCAAAAAGGGATTTCCTTCAGAAAACACACATGTATGACCTCCTTCCCGCCCAAACCACATTAATGATCCACATCATAGATGTTCCACACTTTACCAATGGGCTGCAATTCAACTGCAGAGTAGCTGAGGTGGAAGGACATAAGGAGCTTTTCCTTGTTGGCTTTAAAACTATTATTATGATTTTCAGTTTGAACTGAAAATGCCCAAAATAAATACAGCAGCTATCCAGATAACTTTAATATGTTTCCTGAGGGATGAGGCTCGGTTTCTGCTAACAAATTATACCTCAGTCTTGGCTATTGAGGGGTAATCCCTCAAATTGTATCCCTGATACTGAAGATCACAGTGTGGTTACATCTGTTTTTAAGTGTGTTTACATGAAGAAAGACAATCCCAGACTGTCACTTCAGATCACCTGTCACACGTTGCGTGGGTCATTCACTGTATTTTCTCTTCACTCCATAAATGCCAGCTAATGCAAAGCACTATATTTGGCTCTTGTGACCTTTATTACAGCTGATAGCGACAGCCATGGATGCGATGGAAGCTCCATGTCGGCACAACAAAGGCTGCTTGCTAGTGGAGCTAGATTTCAGATGTGAAAAACGTGATAGCAGGTAAGAGAAAATGACAAGCAGGTATTTTCCTTCGCTTACGTGATAATTACCTGCAGTCGACTCCCTTTAGAAAGGTTATCTGAAACACAAACATCCTGAAACAGCTCCAGGAAACTGCACCGGTGCAATGCTGGGGACCGTTTATGGGAGATCAGACATTTCAGATCTTTAAGTGTTAAAAATGATTAATATGACAGTGACACACTTGATAGATAGGCTTGGTAATTATCTACAAATTCAAGCTGCTCTTCTTGGAGTACTAAGGGTTTTAATTAAATTGGGGTTTTTTTGGAAAATAAAGCAGGTGTAAATTTTTTCTCCAGACAGAGCAGGGTCAAAATATTTCATATAAAGAAAGCATAATATAAGAATCACTGCGAGGCATGCTGTGGCGGGCAAGGATGATCTTATATTTCCAAGGGAAAGGCCAAGCTAGAAATATGTTATGTATAAGTTTGCCTGGATAAAAATAAACATGAAATGAATTCAAGTTTGCATCTAGAAGGTTGCAACAACAACTTAAAAAGGCCTCTTTTAAAGAATTCGGTTGATCCCTTTTTTGTTAATTTGATGCAGGCCGAAATTACATCAGATGACAGCATAATCCGACATCATTATCAGCATCAAAATGTGTTTGATGCTGTTTGGCCTGGGGCGACCGGCATGTGCAGCCTCTGTAACGGGATGATATGGATTACACTTTGCAAACCGACCTTGCCCCCCTCTCATTTTTTATGCCTGCCAGTCGAACGCAGTGATGACCGCGTGCGTTACATCGCTGCCAAATAAAACCCAAATATCCCCTATGATTAAGGTCACTCATACACTGCTCAACAGAAGCCATCCTCTTATAAGCCTCAGGGTGGAAGAAGAGGGGGGGTGACCGCTTGGACCTTAGTTAGTCTTGATGTTGTTTTATTGTTTTGTTCCTTCGATGCTGCCCAGGTTCTCTCCGCCTCACTGGGGCTGCCAGTGACAGGAAGAGGACAGTACAGTAATCAAAGTTTTCCTCTGAGTCGGTGTGACCTGTTGTTGGCTTTCATTTGTGTATCACTTAAGAGGCTTAGGCTTCTTCATGGGAAGTTTATCCCTGGATCACAGGGATCTGCAGGGCTCACCGGTCATTTGCCATCAGTATCCCAAGAGCTCAGATTGTTAGGGCTGCTTTATTCTGAAATATGATGGAAATGTGTTGGACTAATTTGGCTTTAGCAGGATTGGCTGAATATTAGTCCACTCATCCAGTGGATTATCCCGTGGCTGCGATGAACGTACTGAACGTGGATAGATCTGTCAAACGCCCAATACAGTATATCTTTTGCTTTTTCTCTGATATTTAGTTTCTTCTGCTCATAGAAGTGCACATTCTGATGTAGCCACGTGACGCCTTTCCATAAAGATGATAGCATTTCTATCCAACACACTGCCTGCAGCTGACATAGTAAAGCTGTGCAGCATGTAATGCTGGTAATGGTAAGAGCTTTGGGAGTTCTTACCCGGTGAGGTGAGCTTATCTGCACAGACAGCATGTGTATTCATTTAATCTGAGTTCAACATCAGGTGTCAAGTATGATTAGAACTGATGCACATGCATTTGGCAAAATGCTTTTAACAGTATGGATTTCGTGCTCACAAGTACCTCATCAAGCACCAGTTGTGTTGTGCTTTTGCCATCAAATGATTACATTTTAATGAGATGCAGATACATTAGTTGCTAGTACCTTATGACAAAAAGCAAACAAACAAACAAAAAAACAGTTTAGGATGAATATCAGGGTTTTTTTTACTCTTGTCAGGGCGTTGCTCCCTAATTTTGTCTCCTGCTGAAACATTGCTGACCTTCCTGTTGGGCGTGCCGTGTTGGAGTGACAGCTGGTGTGATGTAATAACACCCCCTCCAGTAGACAAGTTATAAAGAGCAATATCTAGTTCCATGGATTGAGATAAGCTTAGGTAGATTAATGCTCGGGACACTGAAATGTCTGTTGTATAAAAGCTCTGTTTATAAAACAATGTGTCATTGCCCTATATGAAAAACTGATCTGGCAGATGGCCCGAGTTCCTCCATGTTAAAGGCACTGCTAGTCTATGGTTTGTGCTGCTATGGCTTAATGGGATTTAAGACTCTTCATTCAAATGAAATATATATAGAAAACTGGGATTATTTTACAGGCTGTTAATCTCTCTCTCTCTTTTTTTTTTTTTCAAAACTGAGCCTGCCCCACGGTTTTAGCATTCGTGGAAAAGTGGAGCGACTGTGAGTGCTACAATCAATGAACGCTAGAGTGCAGGCGGCCTATCAGCTCAGAGAGCCACAGAGATGCCCTGTGGACCATTTCACTAACGTGAAGCGTGCTCAGTGGATTTGACTCACTTCAGCCCCGCTGCCGTGCCTGCCTTTCCAGAAGCGTTCCCATCCTGCTCCACAACGACAGACACGAGGCTTCGCCAGAGCTTTTCCATCACCGACAACTCACCGCTTCGGTGCCCTTTTCCAGCTTCATCCCTTCAAGCTTTGGCTGCTTGCGACTCAGGAGCGAGGCTTTGGTACCGGTCTGCCTCAGCATCCCGGATCATCCAGCTACTTGCCAGACAAATAAAACTCTGGTGAAAACAATTCTTCAAGCTACAGCAGAGGCGCTTCCGGTTCCTTAACTGAGCGTGCAGTTCAAAAATCAGCGCTGCCACCTGATTCCCACTACACATCCCATCATGCCTCACTCCTTCCAGCAGAAAAAAGGTGAGTAAAAAATAGAAAAAACTGGGTGCTGCTGCTGGTTAATGAATGAGGATTGTAGCTTTGCTGAAAAGGGAAGAAATTATCAGCAAACCTTTAATTAATTGAAATGTATTTGAAATTTCTGAATCTGTTGAATGCTAATTTACTTTTGTCCATCGTACAAGAGACAAAGATATTCCAACAGGTTAAGAAATAACATTACAAGCATATGAAATAGCATTTTAGCATTTTGCTAAGTTATCATTATAAACTAAATTCCTTTGTTGGATCTTCTAATTGTATTTAATTTGGCTTCTGAGGTAGGACGAGCTAACCTGATTGAAACTATTTCCCTTTTATTCATCATTCATAAGTCAAAGTAAGAACATCATACCTCAGCAGGATGGCAGACAGCCAAACACTTTGACAGGAAGGCCAGAAACTGTTTGCTAACACCTGTATTGATAAATTTCCATATATCTTTCATGTCAGTCAGTTAATCTCTGAGATCAAATCAATATACTGCTGAATTGTCTGCGCAGCCACAATATGAACAACCATGCAAAGTAACAAAAAAGGACATACAGTGAGTGCAGGTCATGATAAATCAACTGACATCTGATAAGCAAATGGAAGTACCGACTCCAATAAATAATGCCCTCACAGCTTTTATCTGCAATATGTAAAAACATGTAAAATAGACATTTAGTGCAAGCAAAGATGCGATATGAACAATTTCAGGGACCTTTTTGATTCACTTTTGATTTTCATGCCAAGTGTAGACTCCAAAAATCTTCTCGTGAGTGCACAAAGGACACAGAACAAAACAAAGGTGAGTGGTTTAGATAAATCTATGTTCTGCAAAAGCTAAACTCTTGGGTGTAATGTTTTGTTTTACAGTTAAAAGAACGTTAGTGCTCGGTGCAATCCACACTTTGGTTGGAAAATGTAATTTTCTGTTATGTGGTGATGTGTACTAAGAACTGTTTGTGGTCCCGTGCATGCAGAGCACAGCATCTCTGAGAGTGCAGCAGATATCAAAGGTAGCTGTGTGTGTGATGTAGAGCAGATAACAATTATAAGAATGTGTCGAGCGCAGGATCTGTCACAATATGAACTTCCACCTGGCATTTCCTGGGCTGTGGATGCTTTTAATGAAGGCACAAAGGGATGCAGTATATGTTAGTGTTACTAACTTTGAATCAAAAATGCATTCACTGCCAAAAAAAGAGAGCCTTTATTTTGAACTCGATCAAATGGTTAATGAGGTGTGACGCTTATAGGAGCAGATTTTTTTTTCCCAGCAAAAATAATCTGTGGGAGTTTTTCTTTTTTTTTTTCTTTTTTAATCATTCAGAACAAAGAGCTGTCTAGTTTTATATATTAACTGGGTGTGGGTGCTGATGAGGCAGTCAGTGTTGTGAGAAAATGAAACACATTTTGAGAAAACTTGCACATACGTTTTTAAGCTTTGCCTGGAAAAAAAGAGAGTCATGGCACTTTCTTTGTCTGCATATTAACATTTGAAATGTAAATGTGCATTAATAAATTATGCATGATATTTTCCTTGATATTTTATTTACATTAAATGCTGGAATTATCTTCCACTTGAATCCACGTCAGCACCCAGAGTTTTCTGATTTCTGGGGCTTGGTGGGATTGCTTTCATCCCACGTTTCCACATTGGATTTAAATCCATTTACTGCTTCGACTGGAGGATAGCACATAAAAGCTGATATAAAAATATAACAAATACAGGCTGGCAACAATGGATGCAGATGTGGACTCTCGACCAAAACATGAGGGCTAATGTCAAAGCTCCTGTGTTTATAATGAAAGGCGTTTTATATTTGGAACCGCAGTGACTTCCCATATCTGGATTTGAGGTAGTTAAAAATGTATATTAGTCTAACAAGAATTTTACCCAGGACTGCATTCATATTTTAGGAGTTTTCTAGCACAGAAGCAGCAGAGACAAGGAGCTGAAGTGCTGGATGTGTTGAGTGCACTGTTGCTGCTTTGTACGTAGCTCTTGTTGAACTGTGGCCTAGAGCTAGGTGTGTGTAATTCCTGTTTAGCCAGCCCTGTAGACCAGTATCAGCAGTTGGCACTGGATACAGGCGGCTACTTTGACCTGGCAGTGGAAGCAGTGCAACGTGAGAATTTGATATGGTGGAAATCAAAATTGGGCCGCAGCATGATGGAGTGTGAGGGCAAGAGAGAGGAAAAACCAGCAAAGGCAGAGCTGCAACAGTTAAATGGGGGAGGAGTGGGGGGCGACGTGAGAGCTCAGTCCCCGCTAACAAAACACACTGCTGCGACTGCATCTGTGTGGAGTGAATTTCTACAAACTCATGTTTGCAGCAGTGCTCCCACTGAGTGTTCCCCTTCAGTTTTACTTTTACTTGACAAACGCTTTAGCGTCGCTGTGCAGTGGGAGTGAACATTCAGAACATTCACAAGAATTCAAACTGGTTTAGCAGCTTTGAGCCCGGACCGTTTACATCCCCGCAAACCTGTTGACAGGGGAAGATTCCATCAGCACAGTGGAAATACACTCCAAATATTACCTCTGTTGCCTAAACAGTGAGAACAGCAAGGTTGGAATTAATCGTTGTGAACCTGTGCGCTCGGCATTTTCACAAAGGTCTGTTTACAGTGCATCGCTTTTAACACGAGACACTAAAATCACTGGTTGCCATTAGCTGAGACAGCGTGTTTGTGTTTTCTCACTGTGTCACCAAAGAGCTGAACAATGTCTCAATTATGTCCAATCACAGTGTGAAATTAATATGCTGAACTGCAGAAGCAGGTGTTTTCCAGAGACGCAGCACAGCAGTGCTTCCCTACCCACCGCATCCCAATCAGATAAACTTAAGTTACTTTTCATCCATGCAACATTAAATTTTAATGTGGAATTAACTAAATTGATGTAAAACAGTGGAATTCTGTGCATTTTGATGCCTTTGAAGGGAAAACATTAACCTATGTGCATGTGCAGATTTTTATGTTACAATTCAGCATTTCTTCTCTGGTGAGACTCGCATGAACTCGACTAACTGTAAAACTTATATTCTATACAGCAGATTACCAAAAAGGTGTTCAAATAAAAACAGTTTATTAAGATCAGAACAGGAACAAAAGAAAAACAACCAAATAACTAACACTATTACACTGTAACGCTTCTGTTATATACAGCAAATTACCATACCTTAAATAAGCATTAAAATAATTGTATAATGACAACCAAACAACTGATGTTATTATACTGTACATAATAAATAACCATGACTTTACAGTAAGAAATTACAGCAATTTTATTGGAACATTGAAATGAGTTTAACAGCAACTCAACAACTAGCAGCACTTTAAAGCTCGCATTTTTACACAGCAAATTACTGTCGTTGTTTTATTGAAAGAAAACGTTTTTTGAGATAATAATAGAAATATAGAAATGACAGATTATGATACCACAGGATTCATATTCTAGGGAGCAAATAGCTGTAATTTTCTTACAGTAAGACTCAATTGAAAATATAACAGGCCCATTAAAATAATAGTATAATGTGATCAAAACCTGACAAGGCATGGCACAGCAAATAGTTTTTTTTCTAGTAAGAAGCTGCTTATTGAGGTTATAGTGGGAACATTAAAATAACAGAAAGCCTAAAATGGAGTAGATAACATCTTAGAAGCAGCCAAATGTTGTGTCAGTATTTAACAGGAAGATCTTCTGTTCATTTTGTCAGTGTTTAGGTCAGTTTGCATTCAAAAAGCTGATCTTTTTTATCTATCTGTTTGGGAGTACAGTGGTTATAAATCCAGTGCACATGCCAGAACACACAGACAAAACAAAAATGCTGCGATACGAGAAAGGAGCCTTGAAAATTTTCCAGTGCACTTCCAGCATACCAAGATCTACAGCTTGATGCTAACTAATAGGTGTTGTGACAGTAGAGCAGGAAAGGGGGGTCGATTCAGAGAGATGGTTCTTATTGGATCATTACGGAGGGTGGTGCAAAGAAATAAGACCCACTTGTTTACCATTTGAATCCTTGTGCTAAAGCTGCCTGTCAGAATGCGGATACCTCTATTAAAATACAAAACTGAATCCACATGGAGATGCATAACAAGGCTTTGAAATGTAATGTCTGCAAAAGTTGTTTCCAAATTTAACAACTCCTCATGTGCACATGGAACTCGAACGCTTTGCAGCCCTGGGCGTGTGAAAAAAAATGCAAGCCCTCAGATTGTGAAGATAAGTGAAGATGGTAGAGATTGCCGCATGCTTCCACTATTTATTCTCATGTTCCGTGGAAGAAACTGACCCATCAACCAGCAGATGGCACACTGGCAGGAGACTGTTTTCGGTATGTGTGGAAAATTCCAACAAGTTCGACTCTGCAGACTGCATTCCTGGCTCCTCTCGGCTGGCCTTGAGAAAGTCCTGAATCTACATGCTTTGATATGACTAAATTGGAATTCTGGCCTACCATCACGCCTCTGCTCTGACTATAACCTTAGCATGTAGCTTGCTTAGTGAACTCAAGGTTATCCACATAGGCGCACTGAAGAAACTTGCTCCAAAACTTACTTTTCTTGCAAGTGGAATGATATTTTTGTTTTGGAAATAACACGACAAAAAAAAATCTTTCTCAAAGCTTTTCAGGACCTCTGTTGAACAGTGTAAAAAGTACACTGATGACTATTTAGGAAGCACCCTTTGAATAAAATGCATTTGCAAAAATGGTCATGATCGCTTTTTGTCATGAACATATAATAATTGTTCTCCTTTTAGATAAATGTGAACGTCTGCAAGCTCTTTATCTCTGTGATTCTGAGCTGCTGGTAATCTTCCTGTGTGTGTGTGTGTCCGCGCGCACGTGCGTTTAACCTTGTCAAGGGGCACCAAAAAGAAACGTTCAAACTCAAGCATGATTTCACGTCACAATATGACTCATCTGTTAATTAAAAAAGCAAAAGGCAAGATTCTGAGCAACGTGAGCTCATCGTTACCTGCACAGGAAGTCTTTTGAAGTGAATTTATTTATTACACCTCATGTTGCTGTAAATCATGCATGCAGTACGGCGTGTTTACGATCACCTCATCAAACGGAGGATCAAGGAAAACGTACAAATGCATACAATAAGATGTGGAAAACAAACCCTTTTTACTGCCACGCTGCAGTCGTGCCACAATTCAGACCTGCAGTAGTGATTGTGTTTTACAAAGAGAAACTTAGTTGTGGACAAATGCAGAAAGAAAAAAAATGCTTCTGGGATGCATGGAGTTAAAAAAGTGAAACTCAACAATATAAAAAGAAATTCTTTTAAAGAAAGGAACTAAAAAGACCTCTGTAGCTAACAGCATTATCTGTTTGGTGTTACAGTGCGGTTGCATCATGCCTCTCAGAACAAAACTCCACACTCACATCTTTGCTGACAATGAACACTGAAGTTGGCAGAAATTTGCTGTGAAACGAGACAAAAGTGTGCAGTTTATGAAAAAAAAAGTGAGGCAACCTCCGGGCCTCAGGCTTTTGTCAGTGGGCATTTCTATTCAATGACCTATCATGCTCCAAGTATAGGCAATGATACGGCTTAGAGACGTTTCACATTGTGTCAGAAGTGTACACGATTTTTTTTTTAAATGTGCAGCTGTTACCGGTCGGTCAGACTTGAATCACTGTCACAGCCTGTTTATATTGTCTCTGAACGGCGTGGTGCTCAGACAAAGGAGCCGAGACCCAGACGTCACGAACGCTTGTTTAATTGTACAGCCTGAAAGAAGATCAAGGATTAACCGATAAACTGTTCATAACGCGATAATACACTCTCTATCAGTTCAGACGGGGGCATATTGATCAGCCACTCAGCACTGTCTCTCTGTCCTCTGTAAGTGGGTCATTTATTTTTGCTAGGAACTGGTTGAGTAAAAGTTTGCCAAGGATTTGCAGTAATTATCTCTTCCTTCTATAGCCGGGCACAGCATGGGGCCTTGGTAAATTACACATCTCTCTCCGAACTCCTGGATGGTTTATGGCCGTGCATTATGCATAACTGTGCTGGAGCGCCTTAAACATCCCCCAAGTGGATTGAAATAAAGTTGACGCTGCTCTTTGTTTGGAGCTCAACATAGTCTTTATTTGGCAATGCTGAATCGGAGATTGCTGTAAAAGCGCGCGTCTTAATTATTTTGGAGACTTTTCCCCCCCTTTCCCCAATGGTTTGTGAACACCTGGAGTGTTTTTAGTGGGATGCCGGATCCAGATGGGTGGATGCTCGGGCAATCCACGGGGAAATGATGGTTACAGAGTGTGTCGCCATGCAAAGGGTTAATAAAAAAACAAAGAAAGAAGGAAAAGAAAAGGAAACGCAGTTTGTTGTTCGCTGAATTCAGAGGTAAAGGGCTGTGAAAAAGCAATCTGTGGTGTCAGATATTTTAAAACTATTTTCTCTCAGAAAAATTTGACCTGTGGACAGTTAGAAAAAACTGTAAAATAACTCTGAATTTTATACAAATGCATTAAAATACAAAAATGTAAAAGATAGACTACAAAGCTTTATAAATTAAATACAAATCCACATAACACAGCTGTATGTTCCACTAAAATGGATCTTCAGTCACTCTTTGCCCTTTAATATTTACAGTAAATGCAGATCAGATGCATTATTTGAATATTTAATCAGTGCTACCCACTATATATCTCATAAAACACAAGAGAAACCAGAAATGTGAATTACTTGGAGACTTGTGTCTCTTCTTTCGAGGAGACATAAGTCTGTTATTCATTCGACCTAATATTTCCAATAATTACTGTTATTTTGTGTTATATTCTCCAGCTCAGCAAATGCTCCTTCTGTGCCAAGGAGTGAACGGGATGAGAAAAGACGGGGAATCCGTGGTTTGGAATCACCACAAGCAAAGTTTCCAGGGTGAGTCACTGACAGTAAATGCAAGCCCACAAACTCATGAAATGAATAGTACTTTTCAGTTATTGGCATCCCCTAAACGAGACACAGAAGCCAACTATTAGCGAGTAATAAGCGCATAAATTCACACCACTTCTACCCTCGATGTAGGGATGTAACAAATCTACACACTTGGTTCTAGTTTCACGCAGACGCCCAAGTGCTGCTGCTGGTTTCAGAGAGGAAAGCACCAAGTAAAACACACTTCCAGTAGGCTGAGGAGTTTATTCTTGCCCAACTCTGTGAAATGATGCAACAGAGAGTACACATGCCTTAAATTAAAAAAAAAAAAAAAAAGTAGAGTGGGGGGAAGAAAATCACAGCAATGCATTTAATTAATTTTCCAGGAATCTTTCACTTTGCATTTAAAGTGTGCACATCACCTGACAGGCATCCTCCCCTTCCCAATTAATCCCAGTAATCCAATCAGAAAAACAGGACAAGTACATGCAGCATGAAACAGAATACAAGTTCCCCGTCTATAACATTATTATAGCGCCAAAAACACACTACCTATGAGCCTGACATCTCACCTCCTCGCATAATTTAAAAAACGTTATTAAAAATATAAATGCATTCACTCCTGTGCAGTCTTCTTCCTCAGCTCACCTCATGCTTTCTGCAAGTTTCCTACACAATCTCAAAGTTCATTTACCGAAGCTCTCAATTACTAGCAGCTGTTTTAGCGACAATCCGCTCAGATTCACCTGCTTTTAAAGCAAAAACCAAAAGGCAGAGGCAGTGCAAGAAACCGCTATGCGCGCATGAGAATATCACAAGAAAAACTCTCAACCTACCTAGTGAAAAATCTGATTAACTGACAGAAAAAAACCACCCCAAAAACAAAACAAGTGGCATCCACACTGCTCAACAGGCTGCCTACAGTACTTGTGAATAATAAATCTATCGAAGCTTTCCTTTTGCAACAAACCCCGGTGGTGACTCGATGTATTCTCCGTCTATGTGGTCACAGCAAACCTGCAGGAAACCACAAAGAAAAAAGAACCGTGGACATAGAGAGGAGCGAGCCTGTCCGCATGGGCCTAATTAAGAGGGCTGTCTGTGTGCTGTACATGTACGGTCTGTGTGTTAAATGCGACGACGGGCAGCCAAACGATGCGCTGCTTAAGTCATGGAATATAAATTAGTTCTGAGAATTTCGGGGGCCGGGTTTAAGGAACTGGTGACGTCGCCTGCTCGACGTCCTGTGACTGCGGATCGAACCAAAAGGCGGGGGATGTGGCTGCTAAATGTTCAAATTTTTAAAAAATTATACACATTTTTGTGCTTATTTAAACGCTGCTTTTAAGTTTTCTCGCCGTTAGAGCCGCCTTGCGTGAAAATCGGAGGGATATCTGCTCTGGAAACGGGTTGTTTTAACTCGCAGTTCGGGAGGTCCCTCTCCCCTGCCCCGGGAGAGTGGTACGGTCCGGGGCTCAAATTCCGAGAATTGTGCTCGTCTGATTCTTAGAACTGGGGTTCTTAGAAGTGGTGATGCAAGAAGTTTCTAGGAAAGCGCTACCAGGTGATTTTTTAAATTCCATATTATTTTTTTCTGCTTTAATTTGGCGCGAAGTTGTTATGTGTTATTTGTTGCTGCTGTTTTCGACATGTATGCCGGTGCTTTGTGTGCTTGTTGGGCTGTTTGACGGGCTGTGACAGCGCGAGCGGCTGCTGCTCTCAGCCCGGTCGCGCGCTCGCAGTGAGGCGGCGGGGCTGAGAGCGGCGGCCGCCGCTGAGCTCCGGCTCGCGACGCTCGCGCTGACAGCCTGTCCTATCAGGAGGCTGTAGCTACGGCGGGGCTGGATGAGCGTGTGCCGCCCGGAGATCGCGTGAAATCAGGTGTCCGGGCGGTTGCGATCGCTCTTGCCCGGTGATTCACTTTGAGTGGTCTCGCTGCGCTTTCACACGAACTTTGCTGGCAGCGTGGCAGCCGCAGGTTCTCAGCGTTTTTCTTTTTTCCTCCGTAATTTGCTCTAATGGAGCGCAAAGAGCTGCGCACAGCGAGCCCCGCTGTTACCGTAACACTGGAGCGGAAATATTAGAGTTGGAAGGTGTGTGTGTGTGTGAGTGTGAGAGCGATTGAGTGTGTGTGTGTTTTTTTTCCGCGGCAGAGGCTACAAGTTGTCTCTCATGTTTCCACTGTGACAGCTCGCTGCATGATAACCAAACTACGCCGAGTTGAGAGCTTTTCACCCAGACGTGCGCAGTTTCGGTTGTGCAGTAATTTACGCGCAGTCTGAGACGAGAGACCCGAGAAATGAAAATAAAACTATAGATATTTTTAGATTTAAAAATAAATACAAACGCGTCCTATCACTGAAATGAAGTTTAAAAGCTGTGATACTCCTCGGAGGTTTTCTGTTTTACAGGAGGAGGGGGGGAAGTACTGAAGAAAGTACTTCATGATTGGCCATCAGTTACTTTAAGGTGCATTCTGTTCTGGTTCTATTTTCGGACGTGTCTAGTTACACTGAAGTAAATATCCGGTTATGAGTCCCCTGCCGTCTCGTGAAGCCGATTCTTCCTTCAGTTAATTAAATGTTAGTTTTTTTGCTCTCGTGCAGTAATTGACCCAGAAATGCGCTTAAAGACATGCGCTGCGCAGCGCTGCGGGGCTTCACCGGTTTTACCACAGCAAACAAGTCAAACTCTCACTTGTGTTACCCTCCCAGCTGCACCGGTGTGAGTTTAAAAAAAGTGCCATGGTGAGGACATCTTGCGGATGAATTTAAAATTTGGAGGTTATTTGTGTGCCAACAAAAAGTTTAGAGTAATAACTTAGTCAATTCGCTTTTATTTGTACAGCTGCGAATGCGCTGAAGGAGAGCCCCAACTCTGAGACCACAACGCCCATCTTACAGCTCATTAATGCGTAATGCGCAGGTGTTTGCCTTAAAAATGTACAAGTTTTAATGACCAACATGAACTTTTCTCTTTCTGTGGAGTGTATTTAAACCGTGCACATTTATATCGTCTGGATGGTCTTAAAATGCTCACGTGTGCAAAGGAGTTTGTTGCATTGAGCTGTTAACCAGAGGTTCAGAGAGAGAAAGTGAGGGGGAGAGAAATGACTCCAAAGAAGAAATTTAAATGTCTAGACAGTGTTTACTTAATAAATGGCGCCGCCTTCTGGTGATGTGCGTGCTGCCTTCGGAGGATCGTCAGTAACTTGAGCCCAAGTTCATCTACTTGAGGCACACATACTCTTTGTGGCATGGCAGCCAAATACACGAATATTTTATTTAAACTTGCTTTCTTTTTAAAAAATTAGAATAATCTTTATGCTTTTGCCCTTTTTTTGCAGAACTTGACAAAATGGCTTGCGCAGCAGACAGCTGCATACAGTTCACGCGCCATGCAAGTGATGTTCTGCTCAACCTGAACCGGCTGCGCAGTAGAGATATCCTCACAGATGTCACTATCCTGGTCAACAGGCAGCAGTTTCGTGCACACAAGACCGTTCTCATGGCTTGCAGGTGTGTGAAACTAAAATCGGCGTTTGTGCCGTTCTATTTCTTTTGAACAAGCGACTGATCTTTGCATGTCTGCTCCTTTCGTTTGCTGCAGTGGGCTGTTTTACACGATCTTCACTGACTCCCACAAGTGCAACCTTAGTGCTATCAGTCTGGACCCAAAGGTGGACCCAGAGGGCTTTGCCATCCTGCTAGAGTTTATGTACACCTCCCGTCTCACACTAAAGGAGAGTCTGATCATGGCTATCATGAATACAGCTATCTACTTGCAGATGGACCACGTTGTAGACACCTGCCACAGATTCATCAAATCCAGGTGGGTGGAAGCCAGTTTTGTTTTGTTTGTGTTTTTTAAATTGCTGATAAGAATAAATCCATGGCTATGAATACCTCCATGTTTACGGCATCCTCGTTCTCTTCACAGTGATCCGACTGTCAAGCTGCCTAGAGACGAGTTTCTGGTCAGTCCCTTGGTTTTACCTCAGGATGTCCATGCTTACAGAGCCCATGATGTTGTTGACAGTTTGCACAGCCGTGTAGCTCCGTTCAGGGACGGGAGACACTACGGTTCAAACATGTTCAGCGGGGTCAGCACCCCCAGCAACTACCATCTCTACGGGCAGTTTCCCATGCCAGGATTCCCCTTCCCTCTCTGCAAGCTGGCCGATACCAAAAATGCTTTTGCTGACCTCTCAAAGAGCAGCATCCACCACAAGCACTGTCCTCCGCATGACAGCGGCATCAGGGCAGACTACAGCAGAGGCATTGGCACAAACTCCTCCGGCATCATTCACTCCACCACCTATGCTTCCAGGGAGGTAGTGAGAGACGATGAGATGAGGAAAGAGAGCCACGAGGGGGTCAGCCAGTCTGTCGGTTTCAGCACAAGGAAGCGTGCATTTCCCATGTTGTCCCTTGAGCACCAGAAAGACTTGGGCAAAGAGCACGCTCCTCAGGCCGAGGAAGATCTCATCCATCAGCACTATCCCCTGGGAATCTCCACTGGACGCAAGAGCCTCATGAGCAGCCCGCAGAGCCCCCTCAAATCAGACTGCCAGCCCAACTCCCCGACAGAGTCCAGCAGCAGCAAGAACGCCAGCCTCTCCCAAGCTGCTGGAGCGCAAACGCCACAAGGCACGCAGGACCCCAAAGCTCGCAACTGGAAGAAGTACAAGTTCATTGTGCTGAATCAGAGTGCCAAGGAGGACAAGGTGGGGTTAAGGGATCCTGGGCTTCACTCACCTCAACGCCTTGCCCTGCAACCCTACCTCCACCCCAACGACTCGGAGAACCTCGACCCACAAACGACGAGCAAGAGCAACAGCGAGGATCTACCAGTACCCCAGGCTAGTCGCCTCAACAACATCATTAACAGGTGGGTTTTTGTTTGACACGTACACATCTGCATGCTTTAAACAAAACAAGGAAATGTATAGTTGAGGTGATGACACACTGGGCAGATTTTAAGATTCTTTATGAGCACATAAAATTTCTTTTTCTTATAAGAAAAAACAGGCATGAAGTGAAATTCAGTGTTTGTAAATATCAGGCAGGATAGTTGTAGGATTTTTATTTTTGTAATAAAATTTATGTTGGAAGAATCTGATTTGAAATGTCTGACTGGATTAGTTTTCGATTTTGTGTCTGCAGTGCGCTTGAGGGGTCTCTGAGGAATGGCGATGGCCACCCTCCACACTACCTGAACCGCCTCACATGCTCGTCCTGTGGCTCCCAGTCCCCGCAGCACTCGGAAGTCTGTCCCAACCACTCCAGGTCCCGTCTATCAGAGGAAATGTCAGAGCTTCATTCAGAATATTCAGACTCCAGCTGTGGTGAGTTTGAGATTTCTTTTCACCTCCAAAATGAATCTGAGCGCTTTCGGAGCACAAGTCAACATCAGATTTTTCTCTTAAACAGAAAACGGCACGTTCTTCTGTAACGAATGCGACTCCAAATTTGCTGAAGACGAAGCTTTGAAACAACACATGCTTCAAGTACACAGCGACAAGCCATACAAGTGCGACCGCTGCCAGGCTGCTTTCCGCTACAAGGGCAACCTGGCCAGCCACAAGACTGTCCACACAGGTAAAAGCAATTCACGAGTCTCATTTATCTAACTCATCGGCTTTAGAGGCTGCTGAAATCTAAAGTGCTGCTTCTTGTTTTCAGGAGAGAAGCCGTATCGCTGTAATATCTGTGGTGCTCAGTTCAACAGACCAGCTAACCTCAAGACTCACACTCGCATCCACTCAGGAGAGAAGCCATACAAATGTGAGACGTGTGGAGCTCGTTTTGTACAGGTAATTATGCCCTTACATTATTTTATTTATTTTTTTTAAACTCAAGAGTGTCTTACAAAAAATTTTCCCTCTCTATTGTGTTATCAGCTAATCGTGCTAATGCTCGAATCTGAGCTGTAATTATGGGCAGCTGTAATCATTTTTAGCTCGACAGGAGTGCCCATAGACGTGCTGATATAAAACATGTGATGTCTGAAAAGTTAAATTTAAGTTTCACTCCCACTTTTTTTTTTTTCCTTCAAGGTTGCTCATCTGCGCGCTCATGTGCTGATCCACACGGGCGAGAAGCCATACCCATGCGAGATCTGTGGAACCCGCTTCCGTCACCTGCAGACGCTGAAGAGCCACCTCCGCATACACACAGGCGAAAAGCCCTACCATGTAAGCATGATACTTCAAAGTTAGGAACCTCCTGAGTCAAGTCCAACCAAAGCGAGTGAAAATAACGCCGCTGCGCTTTCTTTTTCAGTGTGAAAAATGCAACTTGCACTTCCGCCACAAGAGCCAGCTACGGCTGCATCTTCGACAGAAGCACGGCGCCATCACTAACACAAAGATCCAGTACCGTATGTCCACAGTAGACATGCCCACTGACTTGACGAAAGCATGCTGAGCCAGATGAAGGAAGCAGCTTAAAGGAGGCAATCTTGACCTTGGCATTTATGAACCCCAACTTGTACAATCATCCAAAATTGTAGTGCCACACTGTGTTTATTAGACATGTAAATTGGCTGCGTATGCCATTCTAAACGGGTTTCCACTACATGTGAACGTAGAGCCACATGGCGTCTTAGTCACTTTATTGTTTCTATATAGATATAAATATATATATGTATGTGGGGAGTGTTTTTAAGCTTCGAAGGTACGTATATAAAAAGCTTTATTTTGTTGAGAAGGATGGAATGTAAACAATCAGTTTTTTTGAAAAAAACAGTATTTTATATCAGAGAACTTACTTTTCTGAAAGTATTGAAAATTTTGACGGGTGGTACATATATTTTAAGATAATGGGATTTGCGGCTGTATAGAGTTGTCTATACATGATTTTTATGTAGATGTACGTACATGTTGTCAAGTTGCCATATTCACGTGAGCGGGGAATTAAAAAATAAATAATTGGATTTGGTGTAAAACATATCAGATGTCTGCTGCTGTCTGAGGATGTGCATGAGGTACTCTCTAACCGGTGTCGGGTTCTGGCGTGCACGAAGTGGGCAACTGCATAAATATTGTGACATATTGTGTAATTATATCCGTAGGATTGCTCTCTGCGGGCAGAGCCAATCTAAGTGTTGAAATGCATTTCAAGGTACTGCTTTGTAACGACCAAGAAAAACATTTTGCTTCAAATGTATTCGTATAGGTGTGACTTCTGTTGGTTGATTTGTTTTTCATAAGTGAAGGTTTACAGTTTTGCTCATTGTTCTAGATCCTACGGTAAAAGTCGTGTAAATGTCGAGGTTTTTTGTTTTTGTAGATACACTGTGTATTCAATGTGCCTTTCTCTATGGTGACTGAATTCCTCTCCATTCAGCCCAGCTCTGTTAAGGTACAACTCAAGGACGCCACTTGTCCTAGATCCCTGTTTGTGTGTGAGCGTGTGAGTGTATATTTTTAAATGCTCGTCACCAACCTTTGAACGTGCAGACTCATCATTGTAAAACTTCAGGACTTGTTTTCGGATTGGATTTTTTTTTTTTTTTTTTTTTTTAAACTGCATTAAAATTATTGTACAACGTTATAGATGTATGAATGTAAAATAAAGGTATTGGATTTCTATGTATTAACTCAAGAGTGAGCGCTTTATTATTTTCTTTCACTTTGTGTTCATGAGGAATGTCCCTCGATCTACGGGCACAGATTTGACTGGTGTTCCTGAAACACCAGGCTGAAATTGGATGGCGAGGGTGGCAGTAAACTTAATCGAAAGTATTCACCATGGCTTTTTCACTCAGTTTTCATGTAACATTTCAAACGATTGTACCTTCCACTCTGGTTACAGCCACAGACTCGAACAAAGAGATTGAAGAGATGATTTCAACCTTGTTTTTGGCTTTTGAACTCTTCTAAATATCCGCGTATTATTAGGGTCGGCTCAGCCAGATTTTTCCATCTAAAACCAAGGAAAAAATAAAAGCTGTCAATAACTGAAACACTCATTTACCCCTGACACTTTCACTGTTTAACCCTGAAAGTGAACAAGTCGCTGGATGTTTCTGTGCTATAGTCATTTTTTTTTAAAGTTAATTTCTGCCATGAATTCATTAGTACTGTATACCTCTCGTGCAAGCTTTTACTGGAATTAGGCCATTGGTGTTGGTGGTGCAAGGATCAGAGGAAGCTGTGTGGGAATATGCTTTAATTTTATTGTAATTTCCCAGTTGTAATCACTACAGTTTGATACTCCTGTGAAAAACAGCAGACGGACAGAAACAGACGTACTGCTGCAGAAGCTTGATGCCCAAAATGCTGAAGAAAACAGCAACAGCATGAAGGAGATCAGACAGGCCAACTCCTTTTTGCATAATTGTTTTTTTTGGTTTTTTTTAAATGACCATTAATGACATTTGAACATCTCACAGCATGAAAGTCATTAAAGTATTCTTCTGTAAAATGTAACAGGCTCATTTCAGTCAGCTCGGTAGCTGGAAGGACAGATCACAGCCTGCAGTAGTTTAATGTCTGCGACATGGAGTAACAGAAACAAGCACCGGTACCCTGGATGTTTGACCACTTTGATTATTCACTGGAAAAAAACTTCAAAAATTTTGGCTTTAAATTGTGCTGCTTTGAGTAGGTCTAAATTTTTTTGGCTGCGGTTTTTAAAGCAGAGCTTAAATGTGATCGTCAGCCCTGAAAATCTGACGTGTACACTCCAGTACTCAAAAATACTGGAATAGAAAAACAGTTCTTCAGCAGCAAAAACTCAAATCCTCCAACATGTCACCAAGATCATCCTAAAAAAATAAAAAATAAATCACAAATGTCATGAAAATATAAATAAAATAATGTTTATTTCCAAGAGGCATAAAAAAGCCACAACTTGATAAGCAAAGCGTGCCTGTTATCATCAACATGAACATCACAGCAGGTTTCCTCTCCGGACTCTCTGATTAGTTTATTTCTATATAAAACCAAAAAAAGGGATCAAATGATGACATCTAAACCGTCTGTGAGGTTAAAAAAAACAACAAGAAAACAAAAACTGCAAATGATTGATCCCCAGTGTCAAAGACACATTTTCAGAGACAAAGAGAGGCTGCACAAACTTAACCCAAAACCAGAACTACCCATTCATTGTTCCCCTTACCCCCCACCCCCCGTCCCGCAGCCCCGTCACTGCTTCTGCTGCATGGCTTCTTTCCGTGCAGCGTCCTGCAGCAGCTGAGTGTCCACTTCGTCTGCCGGCAGCTGAACGTAACGGACCACCGACCCACGGATGAAGCAGTTTTTCACAGACAGCTGCAGCAAATGAAAACAGTGTGAAGACAGACAGCCGTCACTCGGTGCTGGAGCTGCTGGTGAGCTTTAAGGAGTGCACATTCAAGGCCTTTTCTAATGTCCGAACTCTGATTTTATGCAACTTTTAAATAAGGAGCTAAAGTTTATACTTATGTTCTTGATGCTGTATTATAACAACAACAACACGGGGAAAAATATCTAACTTTAGTTTTTCCTCTTGACCTCATTAAAAACTGAGCAGCAGCAAATGTTGCAAAATTCACATACATGATGAAAACAAAGCTTTGTGTATAATAGATGAAAAACACAATCAATGTAAAAGATATTTGTGTAAACATATTTGTATAACTCGGGAGGAGCTGTTGTCTGTGTGTCTTTTTTGGGGGGCATAATTGAGCCCCTAATTATTTATCATGCATCATTCTGTGTGGAAAACAGAAGTCCTGTGCAAATTTTCACCGCTGGAATATTCATCTAATCAAAAGATTCATCAGGTAGAAGGGCAGCATCTCTACATTCTCACATACAGCAGCAGAGAATGTAGTTTCTTTTACTGGTTGTACAGACCTCTGTAGCAGAACCTTAAAAACCTTGTAAGTACACGGCAACAGCCTTTTTTTTCTGTACACTGTAAAACCGTAAACTCCTGTTTAGCAGCGACAGCCTCATCTGTTTCTGTAGTCTTTTTTCCCCCTGTATGAAATGTAGAAAGTCTCCAGAAGCAAAACTTACCATGTGTGGATATTTCTCCGGATCTGTGACGCTGATGTCTGTGAGCTTAATGTTCAGGTACTGAAACACGCAAGCAGAGGACAGCGATGTGAAAACGGCATGCAGAAATTTAAAAACTGAACAGCTTCCGTTTGAAAACAAATGAATTATTTCCAACCTGGTCAACAGAATGAAGCGTTCCACAGATGCTGAGGAGAGAAACACACACATTCATGAACATGACTCTGTTCACAAATACAAACCAAAATTGCTCAATTGATCTTTAGATTATGAGGCTTGGGAACAGCTCATCGGTATTTGGGTGGAATTTACAGTCAGGTGTGCCCAGGTGAAGCAAACACGACTTCTGAGGTTTTCTTTCTGACCTCAGGATTTCCATGCCAGTTATTGATTAATTTATGGGTATTTAAACATTTATTTCCACAGGTCTGGGTGGTGAAACAATAAGAATTATCACCAAAATATAATATTCAGTAATTTGCACATATTTTAGAAGCTGTACTGGAAACGACAGGCAGCAGCACAAACCTGTTGTTTTATTTTAAAACCGTCATTACTGACAGGCATCAGGACCCTGCTCCAGGGTTTAACTCTGAGAAGGGAACAGTTAGTGTTCAAGAAAGTCTCATTGTAGTTTGTACAATCTACTCCGTCTATGAAAGAAAGCTCTGATACCACCACTGCAACACGGAAACAAAGCAGACAGGTTTGTGACTCTGATCTCACAAAACATTTTATTCCGCTTCACTTTTATCCGACATACAGAAGTTGAAGTAATGTTAAAACAAATGTAATTCTGCGGCTGTGACCTGACAGGCTGCAACCTGGATTCAAAATCTTACTTTAAGCTACATTTTGTCCAGTTTCAGTTTCAATCCTGTTTGAAGATACTTCAGATTTTATTCAGAAACCGCCCCCCCCCCCCCATCATCTCCAACAAGAAGTCAACCACGACAATCATTTCATCAGTGGTCGTCAGTGTGACCAGTTACAAGAAATAAAACGTTCTGTGTTTTATGTCGACAGTTTCATGCAGATTAGTTCCATTTAAGCAGTGACAGCTACGGTAATACGTAATAAATATTTCAGTGCTGAGCTCATAATAAAGACTCAGAGCCCACTGATCGCTGTCTAAGGCCTTTCACTGATGACTGATTGCAGAAGTGCGTAACATAACGAACTAACCTGGAACTCTAACCTCACAAACTGAACAACCACAGAGTAAAACACACAGGAAATGTTGTTAGCTTGACTTTCTGAGAATGTGTATGACTGAGAGTGAGCTGTTTGTGTTGGAATATTCTTGCAGAATTCAATAAAACGGAACTAAAGCTGAGAAGTATTAAAAACTGCTGCAATGAAATGAAAACTAATAAAAAAAATCAATATTCAAATTGTGACTGTAGGAGCGCTGCTGCGACTATTAACGAAGCTCCAAACAGCAATCGCTGACCAAACAACACAGGCCGGAAAACAGCAGGTTATGTGAGCGAATTGAACACGAATACTAACCTCAGGTCATTTTTGAGCTCCACCACGACGTCCTTCCCCACCAGCGACTTGAAAAACGAGTAAAAAAGCTGCGGAGCAGAAACACATGCTAACGTTAGCTGCACGGTTAGCGTGGCGGTGGGTTGTTTTGTTTTTTTTTAAGCTGAAAGAATAAAGGTTAGAGAGAAACACCGAGGTGTGCTCGGGTCAGAGGCTCTCTCCTGCCGCACCTATCTGCTATAAACTCTACAGAAAAGTCATAATTTCATCGTGAATCCTTACCATTCTTACTGCTGCCCTCTCCTAGCGGCGCGTCGCCTGTCGATGACGTATCAAACCCTTAATATTCCTGAGACACACCAGGATGTAATTACTAAAGTTCGCCACACAGAGGCGACAGAGCTAAGCTCAACGTTCATGCACAGTTGTTTATCTAGTTGACTTAATTTTATTGCGATTTCCCCAAAAATACATTAATAAATAAATAAAAACTTCATATGAAAATATATTTCAGTTAAATAAAATAAAATATAATTTAAAGAGACAATAATTAAAAAAAGCTTAACACTGTCAGCTGACATTAAACAAAATGCTTATGAAAAATACAAAATCTTTTTTTTCTGGTGCAACCAAAGAATAAATAAATATATGTTGGAAGTTTATAATTAATGCATCCAAAGTTTCAAATTACATCTTCTAGGAGAGGGTGTGGGTCCTTAATTAAAAAACAAAACAAAAACAAAACACGAACTTAATAAAAATGACTTTTAAATTATATTTATTTATTTTATTTAGCAGAAAAAAATGCACAATGCAAAGACAGCTGGTACCATAGTCGCTGTAATTACATTTCTGTAATTATGAATTTGTTTGTCTGTAATTTGTTTTTTCAGAATTTATTTGTATTTTTCCTTGAACTTTGTCATTTTGGGATTTTTGTTTTCAGCTACAGACAGTTACTGTATAACATGAAAGGTAAGGAAAACCATGATAGGGCCTTCTAATTCTCAAATACTCAGGGTGGAAAACACAGAAACCGCTGGTGTTATTTCAGTCATATTTTAAAGTCAACATATGTGTAAAATATTTGCAGTGGAGTACATTCACACACTTGGACTTCATCAGAGACTTTGCTCTTCTCTCCTCAGCCAGTTCCAAAAGAGTTACCAACTAAACCAACAGAACTGGCTAGGCTGTTAGCCTCAACATCTACACCAAGAAAACACAGCCAATGTACACCAACGCATGTCTTCAACCATGTCTATAACTATTGGTGACTATTCCCCAAATATGCAGCATCTTCCAGCCAAACAAATACTCAAACATGGAGCTGCACAGAAGAACTGGGGTGTGTAAACATGTGTCATGAAATAAAGATGAGTTTTAAGGTGGGTAGAACATGTAGTAAGCATGACCCTTTGATGGAAAGAGGAAGAAAGGCTGATCAGAGATGAGTGTGCTGGCTGAGCTACAATAGCTGGGTCTCTGATGGGAACAGGAGCAAAGGCAGAGGCACAAAAGCGAGATGGGTGGAGGTTACAGGCTGCAGCCTTACGACAATGAAGAGGCGTAGTAGTAGAAGCAGTTTGTACTGAAAGTGCACATCAGGAACTGTGCCACCTCACCTTTTTAGTCACAGCTGATTAAAGAGAAAATGTAGATGTATTTCCAATAACACCAAGCCAGAAAGTCCCCTTGAATAAATTGCAAGTCTCAGACTGCCTGCAGTTCCTTTAGGTACCAGCAGATGGAGGCAAATCACTGCAGTGTGACCGGTCTGGTCCTCGCAGCAGATTGTAGCGGCCTACACTCCAAGTTTTAAAAGCAGTCATTTGTGACGTGACATAAAACACACACACAACATGTAATTCAAGCTTTAATATTGGAATTCATTGGAGCATCATTTGCACATATTAAAGGCAAACATGTCTGTGCAAGATAATACTGTGCGGTAAACATTCATCAGCTACTGTATAGTGTAAAAACTCCAAATGAAATGTAACAGTTAATTTAGAAGCAGGTTTCAGGTTCAAACTTACGTTCCAATGCGAGCTTTGCAGAAATCCAAGAAACTAAAAAATGAGTTTACATACATTTGAAGGCTGAGTTAGACACTGGTACACCCATTTAATGTCTCACTAGCACTCAGATAAGTAGATAACTAAGCTAACTACAAGCTAGTTAGCTTAGCTTAG